ATGTTCCCGGTACACCGTATTCCCCTTCCCTTACCCTGCACGCCATCACCACCACCCTTACTTCGGCCTCCCGACCGCCCTCCGGTGACCCCACCCTTCCGCACCGCGGGGACGGCCCCTTTTTTCATTGATCATGACTCTAAAATGATTTTTGCAATTTAAAAAAGTGTGGTGTGTTTATTGACTCATCGCCCGAACCCCCGTCTGCGCTGTCCTTCCGTCCACCTTGCCAGGCTCTGGAGTATCCGGTGGATGCCGACTCCTGTCCGCGCTGGTCCCGCCTCAAGCCCGTAGGAGTAACACTCCTCGACCTGCTCCTCCATCCCTCATCCGACCTCCCACTGCTGCTGTGCCTGTCATTGTCGTTGCGCTGCTCCCTCCCGTACTCACACCTGCTGATGCTCCTCCTGTGTTCCTGCTCCTGAGAACGCCCCCCAGGGGGCTCCCGCTTGCCTCTGTGCCTTACGTCCATTTCCACCCGTCCATGTCCTCTCTTCTGCCCTCTGCTTGCAGAACCTGGCCTCTCCCCGGCCGCCTCATCCACTTGTGGCCCCTTTAATTAATCCTGGTTGCTCCATAGCTGCTCTGCTGTGCCTGTGAAGACTCCGCCTGCTGCTTCCACTATCCCCTTCCTTCACCTCTGACCTGACCCTGGCCCCATCCAGGGCCACCTCCGTCTGTGTCCCGCCGACCTGGACCCCCCCCACCTGCCCATTGGGGGGACACACCGCTTTTACACTGCTGGCCCCTTGCATCATTCCCCCTGTCCCTCGGGTATGCCTCCAGGGGCAGACTCACCGGGACGCCTCTTGCCGCTCTCGCTGCCTGGCGGCCATCATGTCATGCTGGATTCCGCTGTCCTTTGTGCTTTCCCGTGCCCCCTGCCTTATGACAGGGGGCGGTCTTCCTGTGCAGCCCCATCCTGACCGGCGCTGTGTTGAACATATGGCGCCAGCCGCCCTCCAACTCCTGCCTGCTTTCCGCCTCATTTTCAGCCTTCCCCTTGCCGCCTCCTGACAAGCTCTTGGGCCGCCGAACTAACGATGTCACTCCCAGGCTGCCGCTGGGACGGCCTCGCCCTCCTTGCCGGCCTCCATTCCATCGCCGTGTGGAGGGGTAGCAGACATTCTTGGGGCCCCCCAGCTGCTCCTGCAGCCACCAGCCACGATTCTGCCACAACCTTTGTGACCAGGATGGTGGCTTGCTATAGATGAGCCTGTGTATTCATTTACACTCATAGTGCTCTATATCTAGATCCATTAAGGACCTGCTGAGAGTAAAATAAGCTTATGAGCATGCCTGAGGCATGATGATTTATGTATAATAGTGATAGTAGTATGCTCCTTGATCTCAAGGGGGTGGGGTGTGGATGGAAGTAGGTTAAATTGGGCTATAGGTGGGTTAGAACATGGACACAAAATTTGCATAGTCCTGCTGCTCTCAATGAACTTCCTTTTTAAGTATAGCATTGTGCTATCCACTGTTATCAAAGAAGAAAATTAGGAAAGGCAAAGAAAAACAAAAACACCAACATTAACAAAGGTGTGGGTCTATCATTCCCTTTCACTCCCGCCATCGGTTGCTTAGCCTGGAGCAGTGGAGCTGCTTGGTGCGAAGACCGCTATGTTGTTCACATCCCAACAGTGTGTAGGTCTGTTGGTGGACTGGCTTGCGTCTTGCATAGTGAGTCCCAGTGATTGCAGGAATGTATTTGCATCTGCCATTGAGATCAGTCTGTATCTCCTGCCCTGCTTCTCCACAATAAGGGCTCATGGGTTCCCCCACTTGTATGGGACAGCTGCTGCTCTCAACTGAGTGGTCGTGGTAAAAACTTAGTGAGTGTTGTTCAAAACATATATGGCGCTTGTCCCTTGACTGCTGCCATAAGTGTTTCTTTGTCGGCCCATGATCTAAGATATGTAACAGGGTTGATGTTCCAGGAGGGATAAGCTAAATGGCAAATGATTTAGATAAACTAGAAAAATGGTCAGAATTGTGGCAACTGACATTTAATGTGGATAAGTGCAAGATAATGCATCTTGGATGCAAAAACCCAAGGGAAGAGTACAGAATATTTGATAGAGTCCTAACCTCAACATATGAGGAAAGGGATTTAGGGGTGATTATTTCTGATGACTTAAAGGTAGGCAGACAATGTAATAGAGCAGCAGGAAATGAAAGCAGAATGCTTGGTTGTATAGGGAGAGGTATTAGCAGTAGAAAGAGGGAGGTGCTCATGCCATTGTACAGAAAACTGTTGAGACCTCACTTGGAGTATTGTACACAGTACTGGAGACCGTATCTTCAGAAGGATATTGATACCTTAGAGAGGGTTCAGAGAAGGGCTACTAAACTGGTTCATGGATTGCGGCATAAAACTTACCAGGAAAGGTTAAAGGATCTTAACATGTATAGCTTGGAGGAAAGACGAGACAGGGGATATGATAGAAACATTTAAATACATAAAGGGAATCAACACAGTAAAGGAGGAGACTATATTTAAAAGAAGAAAAACTACCACAACAAGAGGACATAGTCTTAAATTAGAGGGACAAAGGTTTAATAATAATATCAAGAAATATTACTTTACTGAGAGGGTAGTGGATGCATGGAATAGCCTTCCAGCTGAAGTGGTAGAGGTTAACACAGTAAAGGAGTTTAAGCATGCGTGGGAATGGCATAAGACTATCCTAACTGTAAGATAAGGCCAGGGACTAATGAAAGTATTTAGAAAATTGGGCCGAATGGTTCTTATCTGCCGTCACATTCTATGTTTCTATGTTTCTATGATTGAAAGCAGAGTATGACATCCCTGGGGGGTATGATTTGGTGGAAGGTCATCCTGGTAAGCGGTAGAGTTCATCCAGGGTTAGGCTTTTAGCCTGCTTATGTTACAGTGTAGCAAAGAGCAAACCCCTGATAAATTGTGGCAGTTCGCCGGCATCTATAGAGACTGGGATCCCCCTCACCTCCAGATTATGCACGTCTTCCTCTTGGTCTTCCTCATCGGAAGCTGAGGAGAATCCACGAGGTAGGTCTGCGAGTGCGTCCACCATCTTGGGTTGGAGTTCGTGAGAGGAGTAATCCGATATCGCAGGTTTGTCCCCCTTCAGTGCAGGTCGCTTGCCGGAGCTCGGGACTCATGCGTCTGATCAGAGCTCTGGCTAGCTCCACCCCAGCCCATAGGGACTTCATGTGCCCACACAACGATGGCGGCTTAGGGTATTTGGGGGTGACTAGGGGGACAATTAGATGTAGAGGAATCTGGAGGGGGGTTAATAAAAAACTGGATTAGGCCATGACAGTGCCGCTTAAAATGGTAAAATACTATTCTCTTCAGCTGGAATTTGGTTCACCTAAATTACCTTTAGTGAAAGGGTGCACAAATTAGCCTATCATTGTACTTCAAAATATATTTATACATACAAATATTTCGAATATATTTTGGTTCATCTGAAATGGTTTCCCCAAATTGATTGTGTTGGCAAAATTCAGACAAGCTAAAATATTGTGGTGATGAAATTCAGCCATTCTAATTAAAAAAAAAATGTTTGAATGTATCAGTGGCCAAACCATATTTTTCCACCGTGAATAAGTCTAATTACACCTAGGCATGTATCTTTTTTACAGTTTAGTAGATATACCACCAATGAAAACATGCCTGGATTTATTGTGCGTGGAATGTCATTTGCATCCTTCTAAATCTGTCTCCAGTTGGTCTAGTAGGAGCAGAAGGAAATGTGCACATTCAATTTCTCTGCACACCAGATAAGATTGCATGCAACAAACAATGTTAGCAGAGTTCTTTGCAACCACTCAAGGCAAAACAGCACAAGAGTAAAACAATGTGAGATTGTTATGTGGCACATATGCTGATATTTATATACAGGTGTTCCCACAGTCACATGTGCAAGACATTTTAGGTGAACTTCAGTGAATCCTCAAATGTACACATGTACGCAGATGACACGGTAATCTATGCGAGCAAATCCAATCTACCACAACTTGAGGCTTTGCTCCAAGACCAGTTTACAGAGGTAGAAAAGTGGATCGCAAAAAACAAACTCTTCCTGAACACTGACAAAACAGTCACAAATTACACAACTCCCACCTATCCATCAAAACAAATTCAAATGGCACACTGACCACAGTCCACTCTTTCAAATACTTGGGTATGATATTAGACCCCAATCTATCTTTTGGCCTGCACATAGAAAAGCTTGCATCTAAACTTTATCCAAAATTAGGTGCCCTGTACATAAACAAAGCCTGCCTAAGCCCTACAGTAAAGGAAAAGATTGTACAGCAAATGCTGATGCCAATCATTGATTATGGGGATGTAGTATATGCGTCTGCATCGCAATCCCACATTAATAAACTCAACACATTGTATAACTCGTTTTGCCGATTTGTGCTACAATGTAATTACAGGACCCATCATTGTGACATGCTAAAGGAACTAAACTGGCTATCGCTGAAATCCAGACGCACCCTTCATCTTTCCAGCCTTGTTTTTAAAAACTTTTCTGGGAAACTCCCACCCTACCTGAACAAAATGCTTTCCCCAGCTGTTCCCACTTTCTATAAGCTCTGATGCAGTACAAGCACTTTACTTATTCTACCTCAATACAAAAAGAAAGCGGCCCGATCCTCCTTCTCCTACAGAGCGCCGCAATTGTGGAACGACCTCCCGCACAATTTAAAATCTTCCCTAAGCCTAAAGTCATTTAAGAGATCCCTCTCTACATACCTCAAAACAGAATGCACGTGTCATGGTTGATTATATATTTCCTGCCTGTTCTATGTTAAATTTTGTATATATTGTGTATTAATATTGTTTTGTATTTTGTTGTACCTAATGTAACAATGCAATGATTTGTGGACCCAGGACATACTTGAAAACGAGAGAAATCTCAATGTATCTTTCCTGGTAAAATATTTTATAAATAAATAAATAATTGTAAATCCACAATAATGTTTGATTCTTCACAGATTCATTGATGGCTGGAACTACATCCATGTTTAATGTATTATTCGACAATGCCCGTGGACTTCCTTCATTTGGTCAGTCCAGGTTAAGAGCACAATTTATGGGCTCCTTTGTGGATCTATTTGAGGTAAGGTGACCCTTTGACTTGATTATCCATCGAACATACTCAAGGTCATTACACTAAACTTTTTCAGTAGTAGTTGATAACATTTAAAGAAGTGGGCAATTATCTGCACCAGAATTTACTCTTCTCCTGACTAGAGCTCTGCCCACATAACCTTATGTACTCATCCCCCAACCCAACAAGAAATGGTGCTCTGTTCACATCTGAGGGAAAAGACAAACATTTTAACCCCTTAAGGATACAGCTTCAAAAGCTTGTCTTACCCTTAAGGACACAAGCCATTTTTGCATTTTATGCTGTTTGTGTTCAAACGCAATTTGCATCTCTGTCATTTATTGCACCAACACATATTACATACCATTTTTTAGAGGGCAAAAAGGACTTTAATTTGATGTTACATATACATAGATAAATTCTCATTAATTATAAAAATATGCCAAAAAATTGGAAAAAAACAAACATACGTTTGCATAATATGTCCAGCTTACGAACAGTGATTCAAAATAAATTGATTTATGTGTCTTGATGTATAGACTACATAATATTTCAGCTTATTTTGAAGGTTACAGGACTAAAATAAAATTTAAATGTGCAACAATTTTAGAATTTGGGATGTTTGTCTTGTAGGTTTAGTAGCCATCACAGAAAAAAAAATTGCCACAGAGAAGTATATATTTATAAAAAGTAGATTTCACAGGCTATTTAACTAAGGTTATTTTGACACTTTTAACCAATTTCTGCTAAATATTGGAGTAAAATTGTGTTTTTTTGCATGTACATATAGTTAGAATTTTCATAGATGGATTTCTCATCTTGAGGTATTATAGCAGTTTGACTGTTCAAATAACCCCACAAAGGGCATTCATTTGAAAAAAGCAGATACCCCATGGTATCTTATATGGTGTATATTGTGCCTTAACTTGTCACCATTCTTTTCACCAATTTATGCCAATCTTTGTGGTGAGAGGGTAAAAAAATCGCATTTTTACATACATGTTACATTTTCTCTGAGTATTTCTTACACTTGATATGTGCCACTGTTAAAATATCCCCCACATTATGCTCTGTTACATCTACTGAGTGAAACAATATGCCCAATGTATGACCTAGACACTATTTTATGAAGTTACAGTGCTGTAAAAGAGACGTGACAAGTTCAGGAATTTAAAGCGGCACTGTCATGCCGAACTTACCTTTCCTCAATCTCTTCCTCTTCTCCCCCTCTCTCAGGATCTGTTATTCTTTTCTTCTTATCTTCTTTAGTTTTCTTTAAATTCATAAGACAAAGTAGGGACTCTTTGCCTTATGGAGGATTCCTACGCTTGACCAGCTCTGACCAGCGGAGGAGCAAAGTGTGCTTCATTTCCGCTGGTCAGAGCAATTTTCCCATGATCCCTAGCTTCCCTCTGTGTTCCCACAATGCTTCCTGTCATTTTACACAAAACTGACGAATTGCGTTCTAACTGAATGAGAACAGTATGTTCTTTCCTTTTAGAACGCAATTCGGCACTTTATTCGGATCGGAGTTTCATTCTAATGAATGAAACTCTGATCCTATTGATTGCTGTGGCTGCATCTTGCAGCCGCTTAGTAGATAACTCCCTAATTCCCACGGTATCAGGGAGCTATCTACTATAAGGCTGAAAGACCTAAATTGGTCTTTCAGCCACATTTAATAATACTATAATACTAAGCTATATCGCGAGTAGGGGCATGTGTAGTAAGCAGTGAGCAGCATATAGCTGCTCACCGTAAAAAAAAACCAAAACAAACAAAAAAACTAATACCCCCTATTTAACCCGTGGGGGCCCTAAATAAAGATGGGGGGACCTACTGTCCCCCCCTGGCCCCCACCCCTGAGCGGTGGGTGGGGGCCCTAAATAAAGATATGGGGGGGAACTTCTGTCCCCCCCCCTGGCCCCCACCCCTGCGCGGTGGGTGGGGGCAATAATAAAACAATAAGGGGGGGGGACCTACTGTCCTCCCCCCCTGGCCCCCACCCCTGCGCGGTGGGTGGGGGCCCTAATGAAACAATAAGGGGGGGGACCTACTGTCATCCCCCCATGGCCCCCACCCCTGAGCGGTTGGTGGGGGCCCTAATAAAACAATAAGGGGGGGGACCTACTGTCCTCCCCCCCGGCCCCCACCCCTGAGCGGTGGGTGGGGGCCCCAGTAAAACAATAAGGGGGGGGGACCTACTGTCTTCCCCCCCCGGCCCCCACCCCTGAGCGGTGGGTGGGGGCCCTAATAAAACAATAAGGGGGGGGGACCTACTGTCCTCCCCCCCCGGCCCCCACAACTGAGCGGTGGGTGGGGGCCCTAAATGAAACACCCCCCCCCAATCAAGGTGACTAGGGGTCCCAAGCCCCTAGTCACCACCCCCCCACCCAAAAAAACCTATCCCCTACCTACCCCCTCACCCTACAAATAGTGAGGGGGGGAATAAAATAACTAACCTGTAAAAAAAAAAATTAAACTTACCATTTGACGTCTTCTTTTTTCTAAAATCTTCTTTCTTCAGCCCCCAAAAAGGCCAAATAAAAATCCATTACACCCGTCGCACTTTAAAAAAAAAAAAAAACGAGTGCAAAAAAAAATTAATCCATGTTCGCCCTTCGAGGGCACGCCGCATACTGAGCTCCGCACGCCGCATACTGAGCTCCGCAGCCCTGCAATTAGGCTTAGAACACTCTGATTGGTGGGTTTAAGCCAATCAGAGTGCTCTGAGTCATTTTACACAGCGTGGGAAAGTTCTTTTGAATTTTCCCACGCTGTGTAAAATGACTCATAACACTTTGATTGGGTGGCTTGAAAGCCACCCAATCAGAGTGCTCTGTGTCATTTTACACAGGTGGGAAAGTTCTTTTGGTGGGGGCTCAGGGGTGGGGGCCGGGGGGGGAGGACAGTAGTTCCCCCCCCTTATTGTTTTATTAAGGCCCCCACCCACCGCGCATGCCGCTTCTATCTTTACATATTACAAGGAGGGAGCTGCATGCCGGTAGCTCCCTCCTTGTAATAAACTGCACGAACAAACAAGCACTGATACTCAGATACACTGATACATTGTGTTTGTTTGTTCGGCTGATATTTCTATTCACTCATTCGTTTGTCTGATGAATGAATGGATAGATGAAATTCCCGTTCGCATGTCCACACTGGGCATGTGCGGGAATCTCACAGTCTATCTAGTGTGGGCTGATGACGTGTCCCACAGGGACTTCACCTACCCACACAAAGATGGCGGCGCCCTGAATCAAGATCGGGGCAGAATATAAGGATTAAAAAATAGGTAATGCTGGGGGCTTAGGGGCATTTGGGGGTGACTAGTGGGTCAATTGGATGTAGTGGAGGCGGGAGGGGGGTTAAAAAAAAAAAACGAGATTCGGCATGACAGTGCCGCTTTAAGTGTGAATTTTCATGCAGGATTTTGATACATCTGTGTCCCACTTTGGAGCACTTTAGCATGCTACATATTCCAACTACACCATGAAGGCATACCATTTCTTAAAGAAGATATCCCAGGGTATTTCAAAAGGCACATTTTGAATATTTGCGTGGGATCATTTTTCCACTAGTTTGTGCCAAGTGTAGACCAGAGACCAGGACCCCTGTGTGCCTGATAATGATGATAGGAGTCTCAGCGTGGAAATGGACTATCAGGGCCTGGTGCAAGGTAACCACACACCCTCTGGTGTCGAGCACCAGCATTTGTGCAGCCACATACCAGGGCCCCGATGCAGCTTCTTTGGATCCCTGGTGCTAGATGATAATATGCAGACCTCCCAGGATCTGGATAGGGAGGCTCTGCAGCAGATATGTATCCAGTACTAGAAACAAGGCAAGACTAGAACAGGTACCTTTTAGATGCAATCCATCACGGCCATACAGGTTGTACCCAAGCACAAAATTGGCCCAGTGCTTTAAAAAAATGCCCTTTCTGCAACATCTACCACGCTCTCTAAAGAGGGGAAGAGGAAACTAGAGAACTAATCGAGACATATTCAATATGTTTTTTCTAACACATTTATCATTAGTTACCACCCTGCCACCCAAAATATTTTACTTGTTTTTTCTTGCAGCAAAAGTCTCCAGTGGTAGTGTCCTTTGTCCCTAAGTACTTAAATCTATTAAAACTTTACCTTCTATAGGTTTGTTTAGTTCATACAATAATTTATATAATGTCATGTAGGACAGATTGTAATATTGAGGTAGAAGAACACGGATGACCCCAAAGCTGGACAACACAGTTCTTGATAAAAATGAGGTACTGAGAGTATCTCAACTTGCACCACAATGGTTTTATAGTGGTATCTCAAATTAGTCATTGTAATTACTATACAACTAGCATTTAACACTGATTTTTCTTCTTTATTCCATTTCACAATGCAGACTGGATTTCATGCTGAAGGACTGCAAGAAATTCTAATGAACCAACATATATTTTCTCAAGAGGAAGGACTACCAAATATAAAGAGCATCATGGACATATTGAAAAAGGCAAGATATTTGCCATTCACATTTATAGATTTATCCTCATTATTCAATCACTTAATAGCAGAGAGATACAAGAAAAGACAGACAAATGTAGAAATGTATAATGTACATTATAAACAATAATGTAAATATAATTTAAATGTATGCTAACACTTAGATATTGATCATCTACTATGACCTGGAATATGGAGGAATTTTACTACAGAAGTTAATTAGGTACAGACAATATTCAGATATATTCAGTAAAGTGTGAACTGCCAAGAAGTAAAAGTGAATTACAAGTGAATTTAAGATTTTTGTTGAAAATAGTTGAGCTGAAACATAGTTCACTTTTTGCTACAGGGGTATCAGCTACATCTCGCTGACGAGGCCCAAAGAAAGCTGAAAGCATTGTACTGGGTTTCTGCATCACTTGTGCAAAGGGAACTTGCCAGAATTTCACTTCTGGACTGCCATTATTGGTGGGATCAGTCTGATATGCAAATGTATAGATTCACTCTGTAATGGCAAGAGTGAGCAAAAACATTTTTTTGAGACCTGAGCGGTAGCTAACTGATGGGCAAGTGCCCATTCTTTGCCCATTCTCAAAGTTCCCATATTCTCTGTTTTTGACCCTTTTTTCCAACTCTGACTTTTTTGCCTTAGAATTTGAATTACACAATAATTTCCCAACAAGGTACACTTTACTTAATAGCTGTGCCAGTCTCTTGGACTTTTATATCTCTAATTTGCAGAACTTGACTAAGAGTGTGGGTTTCTTCCCTTCTGAAAGAAAATAAAATGTTGTTCTTTTTCCCCCCCAAGTAATCGTGGGTGATGTTTTTTTAAATTTACTTTATATAATCAGAGTATACAGGAACAGAATGTACTAATTCACAAGATAAGGTTGGCTACATCATGTGGTGTCATTTAAGGGTCTTTATTTATCTACTATTTGTCTCCACCGATACAGCTGTCAGATTGGAAACCAATACATTATCAACACCCTCTTCTGTCTGCTTATGTCAAGATTTTCGGTCAAGAATTGTTTTACCATGAATTAAACAAGGATTCAATTAATGAATTATTTAAGGTACAATATAGTGAACAGATTACATGTTAGGTTGAAAGTAATGCATAAGTATATGTTTATCTTACAAAATACAGAACATTTCGAGACGTTTGCATATATTTATTTAAAAATTCTGAAACCTACCTATGTCTACTTTTATTGCTCCATAAATTGTGTATGTTATAGTAAACTGGGGCTGCTAATAATTCATCCATAGAAGTGCATTTTTTGGTCACTGACCATTTTTGTTTTGATATCCAGCTGTAGTGATTCGGTGGATACTTTGTATAACATCTATATAGACAGAACAACAGTTCCATCTGTCCTATAGATCTCATGGCCTGCTTTCGTTAAATGTAGGAATTCCAACTGCTATGAATGGTATAACATGCAAGTCCTTATAATCGTTGTACATGCATATCATCTTATCTAAATTTGGTATTTCAAAAGCCATGCACGTAGACATAGTTTGGTACTGAGGTGTACAGATGGAAGTGGGATTTTTGTTTCATACTAGTGAAATGTAATAAATGTTTATTAAACAGAGAACATTTGGAAGGATTTTTGGTTTGGTGTTAATACATAAATCACATTTCCTCTCTGACAAACAGGCTATGTGAAATAATATATATATATTTTTTTTTTTTTAACGGACACAAAATCTCCCTAAGTTGCTCATAATATTTTTTATTTTTTTTTGCAGTTTTTTTACGAACCTAAAGGACAATCTTCTGCACTAGAAGCAGTTGTTACACAACTTCAGAATGGGTTGAATATACGTTGGTCGAAACCATTATTGTCAAGTGAAAACCGCCTCATTGTGCCAACATGTTTGGGTTTGCCACTAGAAACAAGTTTGCGCTATTCTTCTGTCACTCGAGCTGAAACCCAAGGTAGGATGAAGAATACAGACCATATTTATCAAGGCAAATTCAGGTGTTATTATAGAGCAAAGTGCTCTACTAGGCACTCTCGCCATGGAAAGAATGTTTTGCAATTTCTACTACTTTGCCTCCTAATGTTCCCTTGATAGATATGGCCATATGACCAATATACTTATATTTACAAATGTTGTTTAAAAGAATGCTCATGGTAATGGTTATGGGGAGTCTATGTTACCCCAGGTTTCTCTCAAACCATTTTGGACCTCCACCAAGATGCTCAGTTTATCATTTCCATTTACGTTTGGGCAGATTTTTCACTTGATGATCTAGAAGCATAATTTACTGCTAGTGCCAATATATATTTTAAAAAACTACATTAATCTGTAGTGATAAGGGCACTTAGAGTGTCCATTTAACATAACATGCAATTTTTTTTTTTATTATTTTTTTTACAGCTCAATTACATATCACTCCTGCTCCGAAGGACGGGTTTAATTTGCTTAATCTACTTTATTCGAACATAAATCTGAAGTCAAGATTTTCTTTGAGGTAACGTTTAGACAGATCCACTGTAGCGATTATAGTTCCAGGAGTGGCCTGTTGTCATCCCATGTTAATTTAGTCTAACCATTGTTGTAGGTTTGACAATTTGCCTGTGACCAATGTGTGCCTGTTAAACTTCCAGTCTGTTCCAGGTCATATTGTTCTCCTTTACAGATTATGGTAATCTCTATAAGTATTTGTTATTTTGATACAAATATATTGACTTTTACCATAAGAAGAAACTATGTAAGAGGTGGACTAAGTAACATAAACATCTATCAATAGATTCATGTCAAAAGAATTGCCAAATATCATTATATTAATATCAAGGATCTGAGGAGTTGGGCCATCCCTTTGGCCTGAACAGTGTGTAGTGACATATTGAACGATTTAAAAAAAAAATTCCTTTACCATTTTGCGTGCCTGTTGAGTGAATCATTCAAATTATTCAAATGGCAAATTTTTACTTGGTGCCACTATGATTTATAACATGTTTTAAAGGGGATCTGTCATGTCTCAAGTTTATTAAATGACATTTACTTATCTACTGTATTTACAATTATCTATTTGTGAGGTGTGCAAAATAAAATGAAATGTAGAAATCCACACTTTATCCCGTAACTGGATTTCACCTCCTGTCAATCATTGTTATAAGTTCCGTCCTTTGCACCTGGCAGTCAGCATACAGAAGGCATACAGAGAAGAAGAAAAATTAAACGTTGCTTCTATGTCTCCTATTCATTTGCAATGTTTGACCTGGCTTTGCCTTGTCTGAACTGAATTATGGTGTCATTTGCTAAATCCTCAACACAAATGTAAAAGAAAACAGAAGATCTCATGAAGTAAACTTTTATAAAAGTTCTCGGGGATTTTTAATGAGTTTTTTTTAATGGTTCAAAGTCCAGAAAAGTGACAGTTTCTTTTTAAAAATACATTCCTTAGAATTTTCCATCACAGAAACTTGTAGAATATCCATTTACTGAGCAAGAAACCAAATTCACATGTTATAATATGTGTTTTAAAAATGATGTACTACCAAATGTCTCTTACTGTCCCCTTCTCTTAGTCTGACCAAAGATATTGTGGTTTTCTTCGGAGTCAATACGAAACTCATCCAGGCTGGACTGGAAATCCATGGAAAAGTGAATGCTTTTATCCCTGTGAATGTTGATGCAACGACTGATTTAAATCAAAAATATTTCAAACTGGACATTCTACCAAATCCTCAAGAAGACGAAATTGTATATTTAAGGTATGTTCTTATTAAAGAAAAAATAATAATAATGATAGCACTACTATGACAACAAAGATTGCATTGTACATGTAGCAATTGATAATGTTTTTATGGTTATGTTATGCAAGAATTTTTTAAAACATTTTGTTCATGTTAATTAGAGCAACACTTTATTATACTACATGCTTAGCCACGTTTGTACTCTCTTTTATCCATTCTAATTTAATTGGTGCTAGTGCTAAGGAAGACGATAAAATGGCACACCTTGTGGTCCATCCGCTAAAATCGGGCTACTCAAAATACATTTGAAATAATGTTAGTTGTAAAAATAGTTTGTGAAGCTCCTCGCTGATTATACTACTCATTAACATTGAAGTATTGGTAAAAGAAAAAACTTTACTCCAATTGTTTTGTAAAAAAATAATGTTTTAAAGGAACACTCAGGTCACCATAATGAACTTATCCAAATAAAGCTGTTGTGGTGCCAGGATGACCCAGTGCACTCTTGCCTTAAGGGGTTAAACCGTTCTTAATCAGAGTTTCCCCAAAGGTTGCCTTCAGCGTTCATCTCCAGGTCCCCCAGGCGGCAACCGGCTTCTAAATTTGAGTTCGAGGAAGCACTGTGCAGGGGCACTGCTGATTGACTAGAGTGGTCAGCTGATGCTCTATGCTAGACAGTAGCTTCCCATTCATAAACAAAATGTACGTAGCTTTGAGGAGCTACTGTACTGATTATCTTAGAGCGTCAGCTGAACACTCTTGCTAACGCAGTTTAAGTAGCCGGATGCTGCCTGGGGAACTAGGAGATTGGCTTTGTAGGCAACCTTTGGGGATAAACCGTCTAGAAGGGTTTAATCCCTTAAGGTAAGAGTGTGCCCTGGGGCTTCCTGGCACCATAACAACTTCACTTATATGAAGTTGTTATTGTGACTGGTATGTCCCTTTAAGTCTTTGTTATAAGTTACTTTGAAATTCACTTGCCTACAACAAAGTGAAGGTGATTGCTTCACCTAGCATAGTTATTCACACAAGTATATACAAGCTGAGTTTTAGAGCAGAGACCCACTGAATTTAGTTTTTTAATATCTGTAGTCCAAATAATGTAGTTTTCTCCTTTTTCCTTTTTAATTTTTCTTAGTTTCAGATCCATACTTTTATATACCAAGGAATTGAAAATTCTGCTTGAAGTATTGTACAGACAAAATTCTAAAGCAATGTACTCCTGAATCAATACTATCTAATTCTGTGTTCTCGGTCAAAACAGGGCTCTTACGTTGAAGTAGTTATATTAGTGTTTAGTATTATTTTGAATTAAATAAAATATGTTAATATAGTTTACGCTTAGATAGCTACCATTTCAATTCACATCATCTTATTTTCTGATTTCTAGATTGATCTAATATTTACATAGTTGTACTATTCATAGAATGGTAGATTATTACAGTAGTACATTTTAATGAGGGAATTAATCACTTTACCTCTAAAGAAACAGAAATCAGAAATTCAAATACATTTAGGATTCCAAAAAGCAGGGACAGTTTTTAAGAGTTGGGGCAAATGTAGAATTAGACAATAAACATCTATACTCTGGTAAACGAGGCATATAATTAAATATATTCAAACATATTTTAATGTATCATTGTAAATGTTATCGTTATTAAAGTGTCAAGGAAATATTATAGAGGTAAGAAAATCAACAGATATTTCAAAATGTAGTTTATTACATATTTTCTATGTGTTTATTTGTTTCTGAAAAATGAAACGTAGCATGCGCTGTCTAAACGTAAGTAACATAACAAATGCACAGAGGCACACAATAAAATGAGATATAGATAACCTTGGAAAACAAGAAAAAAAAATAAACTGAAGCTAAATAAATGCGCTGGTCTAGCTATAAACACGAAAGGTAGACTGTAACATTTCTTCTTAAGGCGATTGCAAATATTTCTTTAAGATAAGCAATGCGATGTTTCATATTTAGGTCAAAGGCATTCTCTGTATCAAGAAACGTGGTGGATTCAGCTGCAGTTAAAATGATTCCTGTTGTACCGACTGGAACAGAACCAAATGTACTGAAGCAGGTCTTCAATCCAAGAGACATGTCAGCAGGGGACTCAGCAAGAACAGAGGTAAAGAGAATTCACTAGCAGCATTGAAATATACTCCTGTCTCTAACCAGAACGACTCACTCTCTCTCAAATAAAAAACAGCTCCCTGCTTATTCAAACTCACTTGCAGAATGCATCTCGCTCATAACCAGATCAAGGCAAATAGATCTATTTATTATGCATCCTTTATAGAGGTTTTAGAACTGTGCATCGCAAGGGACCCTCTCTAATGATGTACTCTGTAACGAAGTTGCTTTTATTAGGGGAAAACAAGATAGCATTCTCTGAGTAGGAGTAGCTGTTGTTAGGGATAAACAAGATATTATGAAACTCTGACCATTCAGATGTAGCTGAAGTACAACTACCATGATTCTCTGGCTGTTTGTTTCATTCAAAAATTCATGGGAGCTGTAGTTCAGGATGGCCAGAGTTTGGAGAATCCTGCTTTAGGTTAGAGCACTTGTTTAAAGGATAGTATTCTGTACCCAGATATAACATAGACAGCTTGAATTTGCTACAAGCCATTCTCCACCTGTTCAGCTCGACTGAAATGTGTCAAATTTAATCAAGCCATGCTTAAAGGAAACCGTAAAAGAAAAACTATGTTTTCGAAAATAAAAGATTACATGTAAAATAGACAATTTGCTTATTATTTTGCAATAAATAGATATATGTTAAAAAAAAACCTTTCAGTGCATCACCTCGCTTATCCTTGCTTCATGGGGGCAGCCATTTTTTTTTATCAGAAGCCAGGACGTGCATTGAAAAGAGATATTTACTTTTATGTACATTTTAGAAAATAATACACACAGAAGCTATATTATATCTAATATTTAATTTAAATAAATTATAGTCTTTCTTTCACGACAGTGCCAATAGATGTACACAAAGGAAAGATGGAGCTACATAATAATAACTAAGGGGAGGAGGCTGAAAATCATGTTAGTGACATAATATCATGGAATCTTACAATTAATGAACTATGAGCATTCATGGCATTCTTACACCTGGTATACATAGCTTCATGTTTAGCTCTGTAAATAGTCATGTTTTATGTTCAATAAATTATTGAAGGATGCAGAAAATTGGTAGTAGCAGGCGAATTTAATATTAATTCCAAACATATATATCCAGAAAGTGTAGACAGTTTTAAATTAAATTTGAGTTATCAAAGTTATAAACAATTAGCATAATAAATGCAGAATTTTACCAAAATCTGAGCTGACTATGATTAATGAGGAGGTTAGACATCAAAAGCAGAGGGTGGGAGGTCTTGCTCTTCTATTGGCCACGGTAGAAGTGATTCAGAATATCTTGTATAAATTAAAACTGCACTTATAGAGATGAACAGGAAATCTGGGAATGTAGGCTTTTATACACTTTCCACTGAAGTAGGGGATGTTCTTTGGGTTTAGATAATAAAGAAAACTCGAAAATCCAGACGATGGGTCAAAAGTTTGATGGCATATACCTTAATCCAGAAAACACAAGCAAAAGGTCAAAGACAGGCTAGTTAAGGAAAAGGATTTTGGTGGCTCAACACAAGACAATGAAGCAAAGCAAAAGCCTGGAGATTTTTGATAAGGGACTTATCCCGAGCAACCTTACCAGATTAACTGGGACTTGAATAGTTATGGAAACCAGTTGAAAATACAGATGGGTATTATTAAAGTGTCCACATCAATGTTAATGAAAATAGCTCTTTGTGTAAGATGCTAGTGAAGTGAATCCCGAGGGCCTCCGTGTATGGTGCGTGAGAGTACAAGATGCTATCTAGGCTTCAGTTATATTCGGCTCCAGGAATTCCACATTCCAAAGAATACATAGTTTTTTTTCTTGTTCCCTGATCCTGGTCTTAACACACATAATGGGACTGTGAATTAATGCCTCTCAGGCATATTCTTTAAGAGCAGAAATAATTGGACATCTCTAAATCGAGCATCTCTAACGCATTAAAACCTCAAATTTCATACATAGTCTGGGGGGGAAGAAGCAATGTTTTCTTTAATAATATGTACTGTGCTGTCACTAATATAACAGGGTCAAGCATGACGCCAATAAGATGTACTGTACGTTCCACTTATAAAACGAGATAAAGCATACCACTAATAAGCATACCACTAGTAAGATGTGCTGTGTGTTCCATTAATAAAACAAGGTCATGCATACCACTAAGATGTACTGTTATTGCCACTGATAAAATGAGGTAATGCATGCCACTAATAAGAAGTAATGTGCGTGTCACCAATGTAACAATGTCATGCATGCCACTAATAATATGTACTGTGCGTGTCACCAATATAACAAGGTCATGCATACTACTAATATGGTGAACTGTGTGTGTGCCGCTAAAACATCAAGATGATGCGTACCACTAATAAGATGTACTGTGCCTGACACTAATAAAATTGAGTTATGCATGCCACTAATAAGATGTTCAGTTATGCATGCCACTAAAAAGGGCAACGGAATCTGTTTGTGCTATATAAATGGCAATAATAATAATAATGCACTGCATGTACCACTAATAAAACTATGTAATGCATACCACTAAAAAGATGTACTGTGCATATCACTAATATAACAAGGCCATGCATACCACTAATAACATGTACTGTGCATCTCACCAATATAACAAGGTCATGCATACTACTATTAAGATGAACTGTGTGTGCCACTAAAAAAATGAGATGATGCATACCACTAATAAGATGTACTGTGCATATCATTAATATAAAGAGGTCAGGCATGCCACTAATAAGATGTACTGTGCATATCATTAATATAAAGAGGTCAGGCATGCCACTAATAAGATGTACTGTATGTGCCACTAATAAAATGAGGTAATGCATACCACTAATAAGATGTACTGTATGTGCCACTAATAAAATGAGGTAATGCATACCACTAGTAAGATCCCCCAGTGCTTTCCATTAAGAATAGGCCATGCATGATACTCGTAAGATGTATTGTGGTTGCCATTTATTAGGGTTAGATATTTAGTGCTTTCTAGATATTTTTGCATCATCAAATCAGATGTGTCATGTATGCCACTACAAAAACATATTATACACATTATTAATAATATCTTTTAGATGGGGTCTGTGTGTCTCTGGTACAAGATTTGTATTCTACAAAAAAGATGTGTTGTAGATACCTCTAGTAAGATGTATCTTGCACGCATGCCTCCAATAAGATGCATTGTCTATGCTACTGGTAAGATTTATTGAGCGTGTACAGGTGCATATGAGATATGTACACACAAAGACCCCAGGGAATGCACAGGATGAATTATTAGCTACATGTACAATAATTTATTTAGACATTAAAAAACTATATTTCTTTTGTTAATGCTTCTTCATTATTTCTCCCAGTAACAAAGTAAGATTTGTTAATTTTTCATTGAGCAGAAAATATGACATTTCATCTACTATAGTAATAATCCATGAGGTCACTATCATTAAGGTTTGTTTTTTTTATAACTTGGAAGTAAAGGTTCCCTGAGAACAAATTTAAAAATTACATATTTCCATTAATATTCTGCAAACGATATTATTACAAAATATTATGACATTAATACAATAGATTATTAATATATTAAACTAGCAGTGGTTGTACGTGCGCTGTGAGCCCAAATTATGTTCTATAAATCGGAATCAGCAGGGTAACGTGCTTAGCCTCATTCCAATATATTATTAACGTTAATCTTGCCTACACGGAAAACGAAATTAAGTTGCGTGAGCGCCCCTATTAAATTCACTCTCAATATTCAATGAATCAATAGTATTAAAATTGTTTTACAATTCAAAAAGTATAAACTTTAAGTTGTAGTCATTAAATGGTGGAAGCGATTGTAACATTTAAGCTGAAATAGATGAGTATGAGTATATATGATTATGTTGTAATTGTTAATTTGACGATTAGTTAATAAGACCCTTAATTAAAATAAGACCAGGAAATGGGAACTTATCAGCACTTAATAGTATTACATGTTACAAGAATATTTCTCATGAACACAGATTAAATTATAGGTATCCTGGTGTCGCTTTACAGAAAACAGTAGTTATCTCTATTCCATAGGTATCCCAAAATGCTTAGGATGCAAAAGGAATTATTGGACACGGTAACATACCACCCAACAGTCTAGGATCCAGCGGGAGGGTCTTAATTTCGGAGTTGCCTGGTGTCCTGCATCCAGAGAAACCAGAGGACTGTCGACAGCAAGCTCAATGCATGCGCATCATTAGATGGGCTCACACTGAACTGAGCTGCAGGGCCGATCCTGGGTGCCCCGCCCCCTCCCAATAGGTTCTGCCCCCACTCTCTAGGCTCTGCCTCCTTGCAATTGGCGCCTAATGGGAGGGGCGCAGCCTAGCACTGCACACCTTGCTTATCCGCCTCTATGCACCCACCCAGGATCGGTCCTGCTGAATAATATCTGACCCAAGGACAATGCAAAGAGTTTCCACATTCTCTGTGTATGATCTGACATGAGTCGGGCGGCCCAAGACAACCCATCCTCTAATGATAATTTTGTTGTATAAAATTTTAATCCTTCAGCTTATTCACATGTGACTTTCCTCCAGCCAAAAGCAACACACATAGAATTAGTCATGGCGAGAATTTAAAGTGAACTTCAAGTTTAAAGACACACTAGATTAACTGGAAAAATTCTCCAAGTCAGCTATGCTGCCAGTTTTTTTTTAATTTTTGTCTTAAATGTAAAATTCACTTTGAAATCCGACAGTTCTCTTATTAGTACATTACCCTGATTGAAATGAATTGAAATGCAAGTTGCACAATTAGGGTTAAAAGCCAAGTTATGACTATAGATAGGTTGGACTCTTACTGGCAGCTTTGCCTCTGTGATTTAGATCTCACGGTGCTATATACAGAGGGTTAATCTCTCTATATGTGGTGTTCGGATGCTTACAGCATTATGGCTTCTGGTAACTAGAGCCTATATTACAACAGAGCACAATTTGTGGATTTGATCCTAGTAGTGAACGTTCTAAAGAAAAACTGTTGTCATTATTTATTATTACTGAATATGAATGATAATCTTTAATATGGCCTTGTTATGCATTATTTATGAATATATACATATAAATTAAGGCCTATTTTAAGCTAATTCCTTGAATTGCCCTTGCTTCAGGGTAGCTGCTATCTTTAGTCCTCTTTGATCAGAAATACCATGTATCTGCTAAAATCGTGCACAATTTCAATGTCTGAAACTGGCCCAGAGTGCATTTTCTCAATAGCTGGTATTTGCACATAATGGCAAGATTTGTAAATACAAAGTAACTCTTGCTAACATGAATAGTTTTTGGTCACATTAGAAGTCCTTCTTCTGCCCAAAATTAAAATGTTTAAATTGTGATTAAGGATTCATATAACTCATAAAAAGTACATAGATCCAGTAGATATTTAAATCTACTGATTATTGTTTAATTAAATACTTAAATAAATGTACTTCATATCCTATAGCACTAAAAGCAGTTTATTTAGTACAGCTATAGGCATTTCTCCAAAAAGACACTGAGAGCCCTTGACAAACTTTAGAAAGATACACACATGTTTCTACAGAAACTCTTTGATGTAATAATTGTTATTTTTTTATATAACATAAAGCAAAGCTTGTTTCAGTGCCAGTCTACGTAGCAATGTATTTGGCAAATTTGCAATAATAAAAGTTGTTTTTTTTTAAATTAAAAAAAAAGAGATACACAAATGATTACTCGATTCTACAACCATAACTTTCTGCAAAATGATAACATATTATCTGACTATAAATTAATATTGAATTACCATCAATTTCAAGTGCATCAATATTTTTTTTTAAATGATGCTTGTATTATTGAGGGTTTTTTTTGTTTTGTTTTGGGTTGTTTAATTTTTTTTAATTTTATTTATTTGTTACATAGTATACAATGATTGCATACTTTGAAGAAGGGGACATTAAACTCCATCTCCTCAAAGCAAGAATTCTCCCTCTCATGGACATGATTGGAATAGCAGTTACACAGTTACACAAATTTCAGAATGTCGTGTTACTTTGCATTGGGCCATGCTTTGCACGGTTTATTATAGATGCATAATGTAAATATTTTTTTTTTGATATATAAATAAATAAAAGCATGTATCTATATTTATTTTAACACTAATGTCATGAACGGATAATTCACTGATTTTGAAATAGATGTATATGACTATTTATACCTCATTTCTATGATCTATCTCACACTCACAATGGCTGCGTTGCGGACGCTTACATTAATACTTATCATCATACTTATTGCAATTGCAACCTTCACACTTTAGCTGCAGTCATAATGTTTAAATTATCTGCATCCCCCAAAATTCTGCATTTTATTTTTGTTCCGTATCTGCTGTATGTTACAAAAAGGGTGTGTATGCATGTACATATTTTTCGCTGTACGTCATGTTTACATGGTGGATTTCATAGCAATACACCAAGCTACCTATAGACAACAAATAAAATAATAATACATTCTGATAATATAGATCTCTATCATTTAATCTATACATGGACATGTTAATCTGCCCCAACTGCATGTTCTAGATATACAATGCATCCAATGTTTAAAATCAATGTTACAGATATAGAAAAATATACTCAGCAATGAACATAGAAACAAAGAAACATAGAAACATAGAAACATAGAATGTGACGGCAGATAAGAACCATTCGGCCCATCTAGTCTGCCCAATTTTCTAAATACTTTCATTAGTCCCTAGTCTTATCTTATAGTTAGGATAGCCTTATGCCTATCCCACGCATGCTTAAACTCCTTTACTGTGTTAACCTCTACCACTTCAGCTGGAAGGCTATTCCATGCATCCACTACCCTCTCAGTAAAGTAATACTTCCTGATATTATTTTTAAACCTATGTCCCTCTAATTTAAGACTATGTCCTCTTGTTGTGGTAGTTTTTCTTCTTTTAAATATAGTCTCCTCCTTTACTGTGTTGATTCCCTTTATATATTTAAATGTTTCTATCATATCCCCCCTGTCTCGTCTTTCCTCCAAACTATACATGTTAAGATCCTTTAACCTTTCCTGGTAAGTTTTATCCTGCAATCCATGAACCAGTTTAGTAGCCCTTCTCTGAACCCTCTCTAAGGTATCAATATCCTTCTGAAGATACGGTCTCCAGTACTGTGTACAATACTCCAAGTGAGGTCTCACCAGTGTTCTGTACAATGGCATGAGCACTTCCCTCTTTCTACTGCTAATACCTCTCCCTATACAACCAAGCATTCTGCTAGCATTTCCTGCTGCTCTATTACATTGTCTGCCTACCTTTAAGTCATCAGAAATAATCACCCCTAAATCCCTTTCCTCAGATGTTGAGGTTAGGACTCTATCAAATATTCTGTACTCTGCCCTTGGGTTTTTACGTCCAAGATGCATTATCTTGCACTTATCCATTAAATGTCAGTTGCCACAATTCTGACCATTTTTTCTAGTTTACCTAAATCATTTTTGTCATTTGGCTTATCCCTCCTGGAACATCAACCCTGTTACATATCTTAGTATCATCAGCAAAAAGACATACCTTACCATCAAGACCTTCTGCAATATCACTAATAAAAATATTAAAGAGAATGGGTCCAAGTACAGATCCCTGAGGTACCCCACTGGTGACAAGTCCAAGTTCGAATATATTCCATTAACTACAACCCTCTGTTGCCTGTCACTCAGCCACTGCCTTACCATTCAACAATATTTGAATCCAAACTTAAAGATTGCAGTTTATTGATAAGCCTTCTATGTGCAACAGTGTCAAAAGCCTTACTGAAATCTAGGTAAGCAATGTCTACTGCACCACCCTGATCTATAATTTTTAGTTACCCAATCAAAAAAATCAATAAGATTAGTTTGGCATGATCTCCCTGAAGTAAACCCATGTTGTCTCTGATCTTGAAATCCATGTGCTTTTAGATGTTCATCAATCCTATCCTTTAACATGGTTTCCATCACTTTCCCCACTACTGAAGTAAGGCTTACTGGCCTATAGTTGCCCGACTCCTCCCTATTACCTTTCTTGTAAATGGGCACAACATTCGCTAACTTCCAATCTTCTGGACTACTCCTGTTAACAATGATTGGTTAAATAAATCTGTTAATGGTTTTGCTAGTACACCACTAAGCTCTTTTAATAGCTTTGGGTGCATTCCATCAGGTCCCATTGACTTATTTGTCTTTACTTTTGACAGTTGAAATAGAACCTCTTCCTCTGTAAACTCATGTGTAATAAATGACTCATTTATCCTTTTTCTCAATGAGGTCCCTTTCCTTCATTTTCATCTGTAAATACAGAACAAAAATATTAATTGAGGCAGTCAGCTAGACCTTTATCCTCTTCTACATACCTTCCTTCTTTTGTTTTTTAATCTAACTAATCCTTGTTTTACTTTTCTTTTCTCATTTATGTATCTAAAAAATGTTTTATCCCCTTTTTTTACTGACTGTGCTATTTTCTCTTCTGTGTGTGATTTGGAAGCTCTTATAACTTGCTTAGCCTCTTTCTGCCTAATCTTATAGATCATTTTGTCTCCCTCACTCTGGGTTTTTTTATAATTCCTAAATGCTAACTTTTTGTTTTTAACTATTTTGGCCACATCTGCGGAGTACCACTGTGGTTTCTTGAATTTTTTGCTTTTACTGACAAGCCTAATGCAATTTTCTGTTGCCTTCATTAGTGCAACTTTTAAATAATCCCATTTTTCTTGGACTCCATTTAAATTGCTCCAGTCTGATAATGACTCCTCTACACATATTCTAATTTTAGAAAAGTCTGTTTTTCTAAAGTCTAAAACTTTTGTTTTTGTGTGGTGTGACTCAGTCACTGTTCTTATATTAAACCACACTGACTGATGATCACTGGATCCTAAACTTTCACCTACAGTAATATCTGATACCAAATCTCCATTTGTTAACACTAAATCTAGTATGGCCTCTTTATGAGTTGGCTCCTCAACAACTTGTTTTAGAGACAATCCCAGTAGGGAGTTTAGAATATGTGTGCTCCTGGCACAAGTAGCTAATTTTGTTTTCCAATTTACATCAGGAAGATTAAAGTCACCCATGATGATAACTTCCCCCTTCATTGTCATTTTAGCTATTTCCTCAACTAGTAGATTATCTAACTCTTCAATTTGTCCTGGGGGCCTATAAATCACACCTACACGAGTTACTGTGTGATTACCAAATTCTAACGTAGCCCAAACGGACTCTATGTTTGCCTCACTAACTTTTATTAGGCTAGATTTTATGCTATCCTTCACATACAAGGCCACCCCTCCCCCTTTCTTGCCTTCCCTATCTTTCCTATATAAAGAGTACCCTGGTATTGCTATGTCCCAGTCATTTTTCTCATAGTACCATGTCTCAGTAACAGCGACTAAATCTACACT